GAGTAGAATTAAAAAAATCAATCATGGTGACCATATTATTAAAAGAACTGACAGAATGTAGATAAATATGCCTTGAGGATTCACTTGTGAATGGGTCCATCGGGGGTGCATCTAACTGGTCTTAGCTGAGCAGTTAATATAACAGAATCTAAATCTGTCTGCGTAGGTTCAAAACCTGCTAAAGATGTCATTGTCAAGTGATCACGAGAGTCAAAATCTGTTTCTCTTGAACCATGCAGGTTTCAAACCTGCCAGTTGGCACATTTTTTTTTCTATGAAAACACACCTTGAAATATGCCAATGGTTGGTTTTCTTGCAAGCTAATCAAAGTTGTGTTTGGCTGAGTGGTTGTCATAACAGAATCAAAATATGTTTCTATTGGAATGCAACAGGTTTGAAACTCATTGAATGTCACATTTTTTCTATGAGAACATGTTTGCTCATAGACAGTATATCAGACATTGATCTTCATTGGTCTTAGTCAAGTTGTCACCAGATTTAAGATCTGTGTCTCTTGGACTTTGCAGATTTGAAACCTGCTAATAATTATGTTTTTATTCTGTGCAATTACACTCTGATATTTTCTCATGGATAGTTTTCTCCAAAACCCATCATAAATACTCTTTTCCACATCATTGCCACAATGTATTCAAAATATGTTTCAATCAAAGCATACATGTTTGCAATCAGTCAAATGATGCATTTCTTCTTAATGTTGCAACATGCTCAATTAATATTTTCTCAGACTTTGATCTTCATTGTTGCTAGTTCAGGAGTTATCAAAGTCAAAATCTAATTTTCCTGGACTGAGCAGGTCAAAAACATGCATCACTCAGCATATTTCAAGCATGCACAGTCCAAGTCCAAGAGATTTGTAATCTGTATAATGATGTGTATTGAAAGAACTGACAAAATGCAAATAAATGTGTCATGAGAATTCACTTTTGAATGAGTTCATTGGAAGTACATTCAACTAGTCTTAGCCAAGCAGTTAATATAACAGAATCTAAATCTGTCTGTGCGGGTTCAAAACCTGCTAAAGATGAAATTTCAAGTGATCAACAGACTCAAAATCTGTTTTTCTTGAACCATGATAGGTTTGAAACCTGTCAATGATAATTTTTTTTCTATAAAAATATGCCTTGACATTTCCTCATGGAGTTTGATGTGCATTGGCTTTTCTTTGGCTCCATCATATGTCCTTCCTCTGTCCTATCTGTGTCCTCTGCTTGTCTATTGGTGCGTATTTTACTTGATTCATATTAGACTGACCATATTTCCAAAGTATATTTTCATTACTTGTGTCATGAACCCTTGTTACATATTACTGCTACCTACTCGGCTCCAAATAGTGCTTTGGCATGCTCTCATATATACTAAGTACTTATGATTTTCATGCAACATCTATCTCTCCCATTGAATTATCATCCATTTGCACGCAATAATGCTAGGACTAAAAAATCTAAACCTTTAGCATACCTCCACATGCACGTCTCTAAATGGCTGTGCTAATGTTTGCATTTCATACACCTGCTTTTTATCATCAAACATCCCTTTCTGTTTATCATTGCGCCACCTCATTTTTGTGCTCGCAGCTTTTCACAATAACCTTTTGGCTCAACCAAGTGCTTTCATGCTTTGTCAAATCTTCAGCTGCATGGCCGTGCATCATATCGTGCTTTTGGCGACTCACTTGTGCTCGCATCACACCAGCGCTAACTTTTGCATTCCCTCTACTCTCAGTTACCCCTACCAGTTTCTAGGTTTCCCCTCATATTTTACATTAGAGGAATCATTCTCAGTAGCAATCCCCTTGGGCCAAATCTATACTCACATCCAGAGGTCTATTTGAGTTTTTACCCCACTTCACCCTTTCTTCTCCTTTCACCCCTTCTCATCTACAGTCATTCACCGTCATTTGCGTTTTCACCACCATTTGCGTTTTCCTTGTATGACACTCAAATCTAATACTATCCCATGTAAATTTTTTGCTCAATCATATGAGTTATGTGCATAACTATGTATTGGCAGTAATGATAGGTATAAAAGACCTTGAACAATTGTGTAATGTTATGTTTTGTTACCAAATTTTCACTATTTTATGTCACTGAAAGCAAAACAACTAGAATCAGATTCGTAAATTGAAGAAATACATGCACACAACCTCCAAGCACATCACTATTCGATTCTGCAAGGGAGATGATGAGTGTGTATGTTGCCACAATGTTGCCGGTGGAGAGTGTCTCAATAGCATCTTATCTGCGTTACCAAAGCACAATAAGCGAGATCCGATAAACACGAACTTGATATATGAAACTTTCACTCACCTCTCAAGATGGCCCAGCATGCACAATCTGCCTCGATGAAAAAATGGTTGGCATCTCGGGAACGAGAAAAAGCTATTGCTCATGCCATGGAGGCCTACACAGCTGAACTACAGAAACCTGAGATGGAACAGTGTATCTTATCTGCGCCACTGGAGAATCAATTTGCCTTTTTTGGTGAACTCAAATGGTGGTGAATGTATGATAACACCAAGAATTACACACTTTTCATCGCAGAATAACATCTCATTTGATACTCTTCAAAATTTTGTACGAAGTAGATTAGCTCTTCTATCATAACATCCCCAAAAGCGATTTTCGAGATTGTGTCTGGTTGTGTTGTGGTAGACGTCTGAAAATTTCAAACTCAAATGATGGTGAATGACTGTAGCTATCATTCCTCGCACACACCGTCTATGAGCAAATATTTGAGGCATGTTCTTATAGAAAAAAATGTGATGTTTCATAGGTTTCAAACCTGTTGCACTCCAATAGAAACAGATTTGGATTCTGTTACATACAACAACCACTTGGCTAAATACAGCTCTGATCAGCCAAGCTGACCAACCATGAGCATATGTCAAGGTGTGCCTTCATAGAATAAGAATAAAAATATTATCATTGGCAGGTTTCAAACATGCACTGTTCAAGAGAAACAGATTTTGACTCTGGTGATCACTTGAGATTTTCATCTTTAGCAGGTTTTGAACCTGTGCAGACAGATTTAGATTCTGTCATATCAACTGCTTGGCTAAGACCAGCTAGATGCGCTCCCAATGAACCCATTCAGAAGCAACTCACATACTTTGCCTGTTGGCTGCACTTCCACTATAACTGCTATTTGACACTGAGCGCTCGAAAGCACCTCAGCGCGGAATGTCACACTGTTGTCTAATACTTCTGCTTTATCTCAGAACTTCCTCGGGTCATTAGAATCAAACTGGAAAGTTTGATGTGTAATCTGCTCTTTTTCTTCAATCAAGTTAAGATCTTTGAAGAGAATTAAATTGTTCTTGTACTTATCATTCCGAGTTTGCATCAAGACTTTGGTCATACATTGAACTTTTGTGCCTTGAGGATTCACTTCTGAATGAGTTCATTGGAAGTGCATCTCACTGGTCTTAGCCAAGAAGTAGATAAAACAGAATCTAAATCTGTCTGTGTGTATTCAAAACCTACCAAATATTAAATAGCCAAGTGATTGCCAGAGTCAAAATCTGTTTCTCTTGGACTGTGCAGGTTTAAAACCTGCCAAGGATAATTTTTATTTTCTATCAAAATGCACCTTGATATATTCTCATGGTTGGTTTGCTTAAAAGCTCATCAGAGTTGTGTTTGGCCAAGTGGTTGTCATAACAGAATCAAAATCTGTTTCCACTGGAACATAACAGGTTTGAAACCTGTTGAATGTCGCATTTTTTTTCTATTAGAACATGCCAAAGCCTTGACATGGACTCATGTGTACTTTCCTGAGAGCACCATCTCACTGGTGGTATGATTTCATAAAATAAAAATATTATCATTGGCAGGTTTCAAACCTGCACTGTCTAAGAGAAACAGATTTTGACTCTGATGTTCACTTGCAATTTCATCTTTAGTAGGTTTTGAACTCATGCAGACAGATTTAGATTCTGTTGTATCAACTGCTTGGCTAAGACCAGTTAAATGCACTTCCAATGAGCCCATTCAGAAGCAAATCCTCAAGGTACATTTATCTGTATTTTATCAGTTCTAACATTAATTTTCTAACATCCCCCTTGAGTCCAATCATATGTGATCCTTCCATTGTTGGTCCTTACTTATGACACAGCTGTTAATCCCAAGACATCACAAACATCATCAGCCCACCATGGTGGTCTGTCATCAGCACTTTTTCAGACCAATCGCTAAATAAACAGGTCTTGAAGTCAAGAGCCCCAGAAGAATTATGATGTCTTTTGCAATAAGAGTAGAATAAAAGAATCAATCATGGCGACCATACTATTGAAAGAACTGCCTTGAGGATTCACTTTTGAATGGATTCATTGGAAGTGCATTCAACTGGTCTTAGTCAACCAGTTGATGCAACAGAATCTAAATCTATCTGTGTGGGTTCAAAACCTGCTAAAAAAGAAATTGTCAAGTGATCATCAGAGTCAAAATCTGTTTCTCTTGGAATGTGCAGGTTTCAAACCTGCCAATGATAAAATTCATTTTCTATCAAAACACACCTTGAAATTTGCTCATAGTCGGTTTGCTCGCAGATGATCAAAGTTGTGTTCAGCCATATGGCTGTCATAACAGAGTCAAAATCTGTTTCTATTGCAGTGCAACAAGTTCAAAACCTGTTGAACACCATATTTTTTCTATAAGACCATGACTTCAATATTTGCTCACAGACAATATCTCAGATATTCTTTTTTTTTTCATGTAAGCTTGCACACTTGGGGAATAAGTTGAATCCAATAGTGAGTTTGATTTTCTTGCATGCACTTACTTTGACAAGTGCTAACTTCACTGGTTGAATCTCTTTGTTCAGTGTGAGGTGACATGCTCACCTTTATCTAACAACTCAGCCTTTTCAACAAATCTGTCTTCATTATATACCTCATCCATCATTCCTACCTCATCTATCATTCCTGGATCCTCTTCCACCTCCACACTGAGTTCTTCCAGCTCCATCTCAGTACTATCCACTTAGTTGGCTCCTTGTTTCTTCACATTGAACTCGTTAATCAACAATTTCACTACTAGGTTTACCATGTGGAGGAAGCACCTGGTGTACATCACTGCTCCACTGAACCCAAGCACTTTATCACTCAGTTTGCAAATTATTCTGTCATTGTTGGACACATTATCACATGTAATACTCAGCATCTGTGCCCCATGGATTCATTTGCATATAAGTGTGTTTTGTTTTTGTGAATCATACCTTTCCTCATATGCCAAATTCTTCTAGCATTTTTGCAAATGTCTCTGCCAGCTCTTTGCTAGTGTGGGACTATAAACCTCTTAGCTCACATACACCTATTAGATAGGTAAGTTTTTACCTTCCCAACTTTGACCACATCTAAAAGTGCATCCAAAGTATCAAAGTACTTATCCAATGCAAGCAAAGGTGGTCCAAAGTCAAGAAATGAAGGTCTGATGATACACAGAAGCTCTGAAGAGCTTGCGACTAAACAGTGAGGTTTCTGAGAGTCAGTATAATGGGTATGTCAAAGTATAAGACTAGTGAGAGTACAAAAGTACAACTATGCAAAGCATATTGAAAGACTCAGAGCTAGTGAGATGTGAAGTGGCAGCAGTCAAACCAAATAAAAGGATCAATTGCGTGAAGTATGACTTATCTGAAAGTGACCCTACTAACTATGACTCATAGCAAGAGAAGTAAAGTGAAGTACAAATCAGCTGGTGAGTGAGATTATATACTACAGCATGAAAGTCTGGATTTATGTAGGCAAGAACAGTAGTGAGATGAGCTATCTGAAATGTAATAAGACTCGAGGCAAGTTGCTACACTGATATCCATGTAATAATGCATGGGGTGTATTGCTATATGCATTATTTGAGGCTTCCTATGGGCTGCCAACATATCTGTTTCTATGACATATTCAATAATAGACAAATGAAGTGAAACCATGCCAGCAAAGTCAAATGGATATGAATAGAATATGATACAGTGGATTGCAGAAGAGAATCACCCTCAGAAGTGGATGGACTACCTTTGGATGACTTGGACAGATGTGTGGAGGCTTCAGAACAGTCAAGGAGTGTTAAGAAGTACTTCTGTAAGATATATGTAGAAATGGCAGGATATAAGTCCAGCACCAGCACCATTGCTATAGTGTGTATGTTAATGGTGGGAGTACGTAACTTTCTCTTTGCCATTAGCACTTGAAATAATAAGCACAGCAGCCATCAATTTCAATAATATGTGGTGTCGGATCAAGTTCCAATCTCTTATAAGGTGTTCTGTTTTGTACTTGATTAATATGATGTTTGCATTGAGGTTATTGCACATACAGAGCTTATCTTCTGCCATCTCATCATCTTTGTACAATCAATGCATTCTCGTCTTCCTCAGTATGCACAACAGCCTGCTGACTCAAAACCATCTCTGGACATGGAGATAATGGTGCTGTGATAGGTCTATTTTTGTCAACTGACTTATCTTCATCCATAGATCCTGCACCATTGGCGGTGTCTTAATAACCGAGGGTCTTATATAAAGCATATAAGAATGTAATGACACCACAATTACACTTGGATAAGACTTCTTGCCAGTCCTCGATTAACATGGTCTACAACTTTTCTAGTTTTCGTGATAGATAATACATGAGTTCTTGGGAGGCTCGCTAAACCAATCAGGTGATCAACTTAGTCAGAGCTTTTATGTGTACCTCCAATTGCTTTGTCTAGGATTTGCTACCTAGATTCAGAACTGTGGTCTGAAGTACAAATTACTTTGCCTAGATTGCATGTTCTAGGCCCTGAGATGAACTAGATAAATAGATTTCATTTGACCAAGGCACAAGTTGGTCAAATAGGCACAAGTAGTAGAGAGACAAGGGGGTCTCTGAAATATCACGTTGACCAAAGACTAGTTGGTCAAATAGGCACAAATAGTACTGGTGACAAATGGTCTCAAAAACAATCACATTGACCAAGGCATGAGTTGGTCAAATAAACAGTAAAACAGGAAAGACAACAGTCTCTAAAATCACGTTGACCAAAGACTGGTTGGTCAAATATACAGTAATGTAAGCTTCTTATCATAAGAAACTTGTACTCTCAAGGGATATGTTTCCCTGCACTTGTTCTGCTACAAGTGAGATGTCTTGTTCAACTGAGGAGTTTCTCTGAGAAGAAGATTTCCTAGAAGAGGGATCTCTATGTTTTTTGGGAGAGAATGGGCTCTCCTTATATACATTTTGTGTGGAAAAGTAATGTAGGTTTGCAAACAATAAAAATAAAGAGAGAACCAATCAAAATATTGGGTGAAACCCAATAAAAGAATAAAATACAAATAAAAGATGAAGTAATGACATCAGAGATGACATCATAGTGGAGCTAGAGTGAAGCGAGAACATTCTAGAGCCTATGACATCATTATGACTTCATACATTACATCATAATTTCTAACAGAATAGTCCAGAACTTTCTGTAGAGCTATATGACATCATTATGACCTCATACTCAGAAAAGATATTTTCTAGAGTATCTGGTAAGTCATAGCATCCTAAACAAAATACAAAAGATAATACAAATATAATATGCAAGATATGGGATTTTTGGATAGGTTTTTGGTAGGCTTTAAACTTTTCTCAATGGTTTTCTCTAGCCAATGTAAATAAGCCAAAGGCAAGGCAATACCTTAACCTTTATTTCACTTCTCATATCAACTAGGTCATTCTGTGATTTCTATCTTACATATGACTTTTTTGTCTTCTTCTGTATAAAACTTTGAAATATATGACCAACAACTTATTCCCCAAGTGTGCAAGCTTACATGAAAAAAAAAAGAATATCTGAGATATTGTCTGTGAGCAAATATTGAAGTCATGGTCTTATAGAAAAAATATGGTGTTCAACAGGTTTTGAACTTGTTGCACTGCAATAGAAACAGATTTTGACTCTGTTATGACAGCCATATGGCTGAACACAACTTTGATCATCTGCGAGCAAACCGACTATGAGCAAATTTCAAGGTGTGTTTTGATAGAAAATGAATTTTATCATTGGCAGGTTTGAAACCTGCACATTCCAAGAGAAACAGATTTTGACTCTGATGATCACTTGACAATTTCTTTTTTAGCAGGTTTTGAACCCACACAGATAGATTTAGATTCTGTTGCATCAACTGGTTGACTAAGACCAGTTGAATGCACTTCCAATGAATCCATTCAAAAGTGAATCCTCAAGGCAGTTCTTTCAATAGTATGGTCGCCATGATTGATTCTTTTATTCTACTCTTATTGCAAAAGACATCATAATTCTTCTGGGGCTCTTGACTTCAAGACCTGTTTATTTAGCGATTGGTCTGAAAAAGTGCTGATGACAGACCACCATGGTGGGCTGATGATGTTTGTGATGTCTTGGGATTAACAGCTGTGTCATAAGTAAGGACCAACAATGGAAGGATCACATATGATTGGACTCAAGGGGGATGTTAGAAAATTAATGTTAGAACTGATAAAATACAGATAAATGTACCTTGAGGATTTGCTTCTGAATGGGCTCATTGGAAGTGCATTTAACTGGTCTTAGCCAAGCAGTTGATACAACAGAATCTAAATCTGTCTGCATGAGTTCAAAACCTACTAAAGATGAAATTGCAAGTGAACATCAGAGTCAAAATCTGTTTCTCTTAGACAGTGCAGGTTTGAAACCTGCCAATGATAATATTTTTATTTTATGAAATCATACCACCAGTGAGATGGTGCTCTCAGGAAAGTACACATGAGTCCATGTCAAGGCTTTGGCATGTTCTAATAGAAAAAAAATGCGACATTCAACAGGTTTCAAACCTGTTATGTTCCAGTGGAAACAGATTTTGATTCTGTTATGACAACCACTTGGCCAAACACAACTCTGATGAGCTTTTAAGCAAACCAACCATGAGAATATATCAAGGTGCATTTTGATAGAAAATAAAAATTATCCTTGGCAGGTTTTAAACCTGCACAGTCCAAGAGAAACAGATTTTGACTCTGGCAATCACTTGGCTATTTAATATTTGGTAGGTTTTGAATACACACAGACAGATTTAGATTCTGTTTTATCTACTTCTTGGCTAAGACCAGTGAGATGCACTTCCAATGAACTCATTCAGAAGTGAATCCTCAAGGCACAAAAGTTCAATGTATGACCAAAGTCTTGATGCAAACTCGGAATGATAAGTACAAGAACAATTTAATTCTCTTCAAAGATCTTAACTTGATTGAAGAAAAAGAGCAGATTACACATCAAACTTTCCAGTTTGATTCTAATGACCCGAGGAAGTTCTGAGATAAAGCAGAAGTATTAGACAACAGTGTGACATTCCGCGCTGAGGTGCTTTCGAGCGCTCAGTGTCAAATAGCAGTTATAGTGGAAGTGCAGCCAACAGGCAAAGTATGTGAGTTGCTTCTGAATGGGTTCATTGGGAGCGCATCTAGCTGGTCTTAGCCAAGCAGTTGATATGACAGAATCTAAATCTGTCTGCACAGGTTCAAAACCTGCTAAAGATGAAAATCTCAAGTGATCACCAGAGTCAAAATCTGTTTCTCTTGAACAGTGCATGTTTGAAACCTGCCAATGATAATATTTTTATTCTTATTCTATGAAGGCACACCTTGACATATGCTCATGGTTGGTCAGCTTGGCTGATCAGAGCTGTATTTAGCCAAGTGGTTGTTGTATGTAACAGAATCCAAATCTGTTTCTATTGGAGTGCAACAGGTTTGAAACCTATGAAACATCACATTTTTTTCTATAAGAACATGCCTCAAATATTTGCTCATAGACGGTGTGTGCGAGGAATGATAGCTACAGTCATTCACCATCATTTGAGTTTGAAATTTTCAGACGTCTACCACAACACAACCAGACACAATCTCGAAAATCGCTTTTGGGGATGTTATGATAGAAGAGCTAATCTACTTCGTACAAAATTTTGAAGAGTATCAAATGAGATGTTATTCTGCGATGAAAAGTGTGTAATTCTTGGTGTTATCATACATTCACCACCATTTGAGTTCACCAAAAAAGGCAAATTGATTCTCCAGTGGCGCAGATAAGATACACTGTTCCATCTCAGGTTTCTGTAGTTCAGCTGTGTAGGCCTCCATGGCATGAGCAATAGCTTTTTCTCGTTCCCGAGATGCCAACCATTT